ATATGTTCATAAATGAATGGTGTATACCAAAGTTAAATCCATCTCTTTAAGTATAGCTTAAGTTCGACATATGTGCTATACGTCTCTCAGAATCAGATATCCTACCTTGACGGCCCTACCTTTTATGTATCCTCTGACGGCAGACTTTCCACCTTAATCGTCGCGAGCGGAAGCATGTTCATCCGGTCAACCATCTCTGGTACGCCTGTGTAATGCCAGTGGGCTTGTATATCAGTCTCCTGGTCGTACTGCAATCCGCCGTACCAACTGCCGGAAAGTCCGGTTGTCTACAAGTTTATTCACTTTCAGTTGCAAAGTTGATAAGTGCTCCTAAATTATATTACGTGTTGGATTATTAGGCCCATCGGGTGCTGCAGTTGCAGTACTCATAATCTGCGAAGAATGAATGCCGACGTCTTGCATGTGAGATATTTCCATACGCTGAAATGATGTGTTTGATGTAGGTAGTGCTGGTGGAATATCATCGTCTATGACCAGAGTAGACGCAGACGCAGATACAATGAATTATCTTCAGCTATTGCTTGACCATAATCAATGGCTTGTTGCGTTTGTTGATACGTGCTAGTAGCTTCGGTAGTTGAGTCTGTCTCGTCAGATACTGGGATGAATTGAGATAGGGTTTGCTGACCCTTTTTCTCTAGGTACGTTTCTATTTATACGACCCTGACTAGGTCTTCCAGCGCCCTTACGAGCTCCGCCTGAGTCGGGCTTACGGGTTGTTTTCCTACGCTGCATCATTTTAAGGCCGAAGTGAGAGACGAAGTCTGTGTAACATACAATGGTATGGTTCTAACAGAATGTCAACTGTTACAATAGCAATCGGACATATGTGAATATAGGTGATTTATGCTACTTTTGCTGTGTGTGTGCACTGTGCAGTGGTAAAATAAAAACTCGGCCCTCTGGATAGGGTCTCAGCGGAAATCAAGGTTTCTCTCTACAGCTCGAAAATTTAGCAGAGGCCCAAATCAAGAGGGCTGTGATAAAAAAACAGTTCAGTTTGTTCACATAAGCTGGCTCAAAACGTGTTACGTGGCGCGCTGCGCGCTCTACGTCTTGGTTTTTTATTTCAAAACTTCGTTTTGTCCGCCTCCAGACATACTCGATTTTTTTTTGATAAGATCCCTAGTTGTTGCGAATCGTATATATACATAGAATAAGGTACCTAGTTATCAAATACACACATGATATGTAAACAAAGGAAAGATCGTTTGTAAAGCACACCTTGCGTAAAGAGCGCATATAAGAGCATTCACGGTAACTTTCGGCCGGCGCTGTATGGCCCAATGTCTTCATGGCACTTAAATTTGGACGCGATGTTGTCTTCTTTTTAAGTGTTGATTCCTCTATAAAAGCGAGCGTTCATTTATATAAACAGTAAGTTCTCTGTATGAGCTATAGCTCCTTTGTATCACGGTAATTACGTTTTTATGTTAATAAGACAAGTAGTTCATGGCCATAATTGTGTAGGTATATACCAGTTACTTTGATACGCTAAGGTACAGCAGCCATGTCCTGCAAACCATGGTACCGACTGGTGACTGCCAGGGCGCTTATGCAAAATATGCATATTGTGACCCCCGAATATGCTCATACAACTATGTCCATATGTACACATTCATCTATAAATATGCATGTGTATACATCTGTGAATAAAAATATACATACGTCTATGACAAGATATATACATATACATGCATCTAAAAATAGCTATACACAGACATCGAAATCCAAATATACACATACAACCGCGTGTTTTCACGCAGTCAATACCGGCGGGACTGAGAGACCTACTGTAGTCTGTAACTCACGGGTAGCTCTTAGACAAGCCTACACCGGACGAGATGGTGTTTGCCATGTACGTAACAATTATAACTGTATAAGTACGTCCAATGTATTGTTAAATACATATAAATGCAGGGGGAAAATCCGGACTGGGGCTGTTACAAACTCTGTACATACACTTAGTAGCAGAGACAAGATATGCACAAATACATATACAAAATTGCGCACGATTACATATACAAACCAAGTTAAGTCGCTGAGTATGCGAGCCCACTTGAGCACAGACAACAGTCTGTACGGTACACCTAAGTACTTTTCCAACTACAACCTGGATACAATAGAGAAGTATAACGCCCCTAAACAACAGAGTGATCCTGAGCCTATAGAAGCGGATACCGCTAAGCCTAAAAGGAAAAGAAGAACTGCGCAGCAGATTCTGGAGGACAATCTCAATAAAACCACATCAACCAGACCATCTAAAAGGAAACGAAGAACCGCGCAGCAGATTATGGAGGACAATCTCATTGAAACCACATCAATCAAACCATCTAAAAGGAAACGAAGAACAGCGCAGCAGATTATGGAGGACAATCTCATTGAAACCACATCAATCAAACCATCACGGCAGAAGAGCAAGAAGTACACCCTAGAAAAGCGAAACGATATGAATGCAAACATAGTAAGCACACATGCTACACAGGATACTGAAGAATGTATTGTGGACACGGGATTAGGACATAGGAAAAGAAAAGTTAGTACAGAGCGTGACACAGAGGGTGAAGACAGTGGCACAGACGCTACAAAATCACTACTAGGCAATTTGACGGTCGCAGAGAGCCTTGTTGCCGACTTCGATAGATTATCTTCGAGACCGAAACGCAAGAAAAAGAAGAAGGCTAAAACGAAGATCAAGCTGCCGCTGCCTACAGAATCTGATTATGAAGGTATAACGGCACACACACACACACACACACACACACACACACACACACACACACACACACACACACACACACACACTACTATA